CATTTAACTTTTTTTACTTTTTTTCCTTCGCTAAATCTTTTTTCCTTAACTTTCACTAATATGAATTTTATGAGTTACGCAAAAAGAAATAAAATCAAAAAATTGATTTATCACATGATTAGAAAGTGACCGAATAATATATATAAAAAACGTCTAGTGCGCACATAGGACCTGTCGGATAATGTATTGATATTAAATTAAATATTTTTTAATAAACATCATATATATATTTATAATTTTATTGTTATATAAATCTACATACTAAAATAAAACTAAATACTAAAATAAAACCCAAAACTTTATACTATTAATCCCGAAAGTTTCTGATGTAAAAATTGCAGCATTTTGAAGCAATGCTAATATGTATTCAGGTCCTAAAATATTTTGACATACTATTAGGCACCCATGTATAGATAAGCACAAATCATGCGTATTAATTTGACGGGCGTTTCTGGATTTTGAATGTAATATAGCAATAACACTAAATGTAATATTTAAATTCACGAGTGGCTCGGGTTTTTATCCAGGCATTTTGAAAACCCTGTCTAAGAGTTTTTACAGTAATATGTTGCATTGATTTGTTATGTACTGTACTTATCGTAGCGTTTTTGGACTAACTAAACCTTAAAAGAAATTCAAACCCTTTGAACCTAACAATGGGCCAAACAATAAATTAGGCTCTAATTTTAAAACAATGATGCAACTTTTTAAATTCTTCTATGAATAACAGTTGAATTCAGATCAATCACAAAATTTTTATTACTAAAATATAACATATATGAGTGTCGCCAAAGAAAACCCGACATTAAATCGTCGGGTTTTCTTTTGGCGACACTCCTATATAAATGAGGATGATTTATACTGTATTACGTAAAGCATATTGGCGTATACATTACTGCATTACGCCAGGAACCTGAATTTGAATCTATCACCTTACTGGGCTCTAAATCCTGTAAGGTGATAATTTAAAATTTAGAATGCTGGTTGTCATATTCATGTGTATACAATATGTATATTGCTTACGTAAATATCAGCTGAATATCACTCGAGATTTACATCAGGTTTCTAAATAGCGGTAAATTATGCATCGTGTAAGAGACCCTTACAGTAATTAAGCCTAATTTGCCAAGATCAAACATGTTGATGCATTATCGTTATAAATGGCTTACGTATTGTTTTTTTTTCTTAAAAAAAAAAAAAAAATTTCTGACAAAAGATTGCGAATTCTTATAAAATATTTTAATTTACTATGTATTATAACCATACATCGATCCGACTCATTTCATTACCATCTATATGTTTAGTTTGTTTAATATTGTTATTAATCAACCCACTGGTTTTGGGTGGAGCTCTGGGTGTCTGGTGTACCTACGAAGCTCTCTTGCCTCTAAGAAAATTTTCGAAAACTATAACAGAATATAGGTAATTATTATAAGATACGTAGTTGAATGGTTTAAAGTTATGGTCGAATATTTAAATGTTTCTAACTATATTCTTTGGTATTTTAGTCTTCTCATATTTAAACGATTTCGGAAATTCTTTTTTCATCATATTAACGATATTTCAATAATAAATATTGAAACTCAGCAATATTCAAGAGACCCTTATTACAATACTTCTTTGGAGACTATGAAATTCAGAATGAGTAATTCGGTTACAATATTGTCAGGGACTGCTGCTGCTGCTGCGTAAAAATTTTTAATAGTTTGATTTGTTTTGTATTCATAGATATTTTAAATTTAGGTTTAAAATATCAAAATAAAAATTATAATTCAAATTTATAAAATTTATTATATATAGTTATTATAATATAATTAACAGAATTATTAAAATTTAGATTTGGAAAAATGTATCTCTTACAACGTTTACAACGTTCAGCTATTATTGTAAAGCTTTAAATATGCTATAATATAGACTATAATTCAATTTATTTCGATAGAGATATTTACATAATATAAATTTAATGTCTTCATTAAAAAGATTTGTGATAAAGTTTAAACCAATTTAATGATAATTTGAAATAGTCGATTAAAATAAATCGTGTTAAATTATATTTTGCATTACTGTCTGTCATATTGCAAGTTATCAGCTGTAAGATCACCTAAGAATTAATTAGGAACCAAAGACCTGTTGCGTTCGACATTTAAATTAAATATATGTTGTGCATCAGATCGGTTCTTGCGATGTCAGTCGTCGGGTGAAGTGTGTAACTCATTAATCGGTTACCTAATCTACCTCGAGGCAGACCACGTCTGATAGAATTTATTTTTGAAAAGCTGCAAGTAACTTAAGGATTTCGCCTACGAAACACTTGCAGCCCAATAAAAATTCATCGGAATGTTATGTCAAATGAATCATTATATCAAATAAAATATACATTTTACATTTTACACGTCAATTAATTGGTAAAATATATTTTAAAAATAAGAATCGCATAACTTTTGGCCTGGTATTAGGCGTGTGATCTCAATGCAATAATTCAACGATTGAAAAATTTTTTGAATAAAATAAACGTTAATAAGCCAGCATTAACAACCTACTGGTCATAAATTTATATTAATCGTAAATAAAGATTTGAATTCCTTTGGGTTGGCAAGTTGATGTTCGGATTAGATTTAAAAACTCTTAATGCTTATGTCTGAGATCTTTCTATTTATATTATAAATCGTATGCTAATGTTAAGCATTCTTTTCTTTAGTTATTTTATTAAATCTTGTATCATTATTCTTTAAAATGTTATATAACGCCGACCATCACAGTTTCCTCAGATCATAATTGAGGCATCTCGAGTGATCGATTAATGCATCACCAAATTAAAAATTTCGCTAAAAATTTTCACAATTAAATTAGGGTTAGGATTAGTAAGTTGGTTAGAAAGAGCTTAACTAACATCAAAATTTCTAAAGAAACCTTTTTTGTTGGTGCACAAAAGAGTTTCATAGGTATAGCATTGACTTGTGAACAATCTTTTGGGTTGTCTCTGATTAATATGTTAATTATATGAGTGGAAAAGGGCAGTTTCTAAAAATAGATTTTTATGATTTTCATAATAATCTATTCTCCTTTTCCCTTGGTGACACTACTGTGACACTCATATGATAATCAAATCATGTTTGTTTGTTAAGTATATTATCTGATTGTAATTCCAACTATATATAGATTTTAGATCTAAAGAATTAATATTATACAAAAAAAAAATTTGCAACAATTTGTAAAAACGTAATTCTTACAAATTTATACTTAATTAATTTTTTTAATAGTACTAGAGTTGGTAATATAATAAAAAAGATTTTTAATTATAACTAGCAATAAAAAGCTAAATATCCATAATAGTATAAGTGGCACAATATAGAATTATTATAAGCCCTACACTTTTCCAGAACAGTGAACTATATCATGTACTTATACAATACACTCTTTCCAACAGCAGTACCCAATCATTTACCTTTTATATAGACAGCTCAGTATCTAATATAGACACAGATAACTGCTCAATGAGCATTAGCTGGGTACAAATTGTCAATAACCAAGTAGCTAATAGTTTTTCTGCCAAGATTATCAACTGGCCCTTCTTATACAAAGCCAAGTTAATGACTATATTACTTTGTGCTACTAAAGTTGTTATATATACAAATTCATAATCTATTATTTCTAAATACTACAAACTTCTCTATATGAAGTGAAGTTAATAGATAAAGGACAAATTTTTTCTAAGTAAAAGTTTTCTTGAATTTAAACTTAAATATTATAGCAATTATCTTATCAAATTTAATAATTTTTTTATTTTAATTTTTTATAATTTCAAAATCAAAATAAAAAAATTTTGAGCAAATTTGATTAATTAGTTATTAAGGTATTTTAATTTAAAAATTAAAAAATTTACTAAAAACAATTTGTCTCTTTTCAGATCTTCTTTAGTATAGCTGGGCAATATAGAAATATTATAAAATTATAATATAAAAAAACTCTAACTCTAACCCTAGAGCTAACTATAAACTTTACTATACTTTTAACTAACCCTAACTAATCTCAAATTTGCTTAAATTAGTTCAAATATTATATTTATATATTATAATCTTATAATAATTCTATATTGCCTAGTTATACTAAAGATCAACCTATTTTAGATATATTTAGTATTTTAATAAAGTACTGATAAAACTGCCTAAGAGTTAAAAAAAAAAAAAACTATTATGTGATTAATATTTATATCAATCACTATCAATTATGTTAGAACAATTTCTAACTTATCTTTCTAAAATATTCGCATTACTAACATTGACTTACTCTGCTCAACTTTTAATTCTTAAATTGCTTACTTTTATATTCTTTTAACTTTATTTCTTTTCCAAGTGCCCTTTGAGTATATTCAATAATATATTATGTCTTTTATTATTTTGTTAATAAACTTAATTCTATAGTTTTTTGCTTGTTTTTGTACTCTTATTTACTACTAGTTCTTACTTTGCTGTTTTCTTGCTCTTTTGCTTTGCTATTTTGTTCTTATTTACTATACTTTTTTTTTGCTACCATGTTTTTTTGATTTTATTGACAAAGCAATATGTCTTCTTTACTAACTGTATTTGTATCTACAAGGAAATTATAGAAGGCAGGTTTATAGAATTATTTTATTGTAAAATATTGAAATATGAGCTGGTTATTTCTAAGCAGCTTTTTTTTTAAAAAATTTTAAATTTTTTAACATTACCAAGTAGTCCTTTGATCGATCTTAAAACAAGTAATATAATTGAAGAGTTAGCATTTTTTAAAATAAACAAAGCAACAGAATCAATTGCAGAAGTAGTACAGGACACTTAACTCTTAGTAGGAAATTCATTTGGTTCATGGAACTTAGCTAAGGCATGCCTCAACAATTATGCTAAAACTACAGGTTTTTCTTTGTATCAAAAAAGAGTAACAAGTAATAATAGCAAAGTTGAATGATGTATATTTAAGTATACCTATTTTGGAAAAAATATTAGCAATCAAATCATTGATCTTGCTTATTAGCAAAATCAAAATTTAGAGAAAATTGCATACAAATAACATATAAACTTGTCAAAGCCAAAATCAAGTATAAAGGTTACTATTACAAGCATTATAGGGAAATATAACCATAAAATAGAGCCTAATGTTGTATTATATACATTTAAATATAGAAAATTGACTTCTAAAATTATACAGTATGCAACACCTAAAGACTAAAATAATTTTAAAAGCTAATAGCTCATGATACAGAAAAGATACAATAAAAAGGAAGCTGCTAAATTGTAGCTATGTCAATTTGCTACAACTTAACAGCTTTATTTTAAAAATAAATATTATATATTTTTGATTTATAACAATTTAAATATGCTTAATTTTTATATGTTTTTATATGATATATCAAAAAATTAACAAAATTGAGACAAGTTACATGTTTTGGCTTTTGGTTATTGGCTAATTTTTAAAAAATTTGTTAATTAATAAAATTTTAACTAATAGAAAAAATTTTTTTAGCTAATCAAAATGCAGGAAATTAACAAAATATCAAAATTTAATATAAAATTTTTTAAAATAGGACAAATCGTGACAAATTTTGCATTTTAGTCTTTAGGTATCACACACTATAGAAGAGATAGAATTTTATGTTATAAAGATATTTCCACTTTTAATAGCAAAATTTTATAATAATATGATTCATAAACCCGATCTCTACAATGCTATTCAAAAGTTTTGAACTTTATTTAGCAAATGTCATCAAGAAGTACAACATTTTGTAGAATATTCATTGCAGCTAAAAAATAAGAATTTTGGTTGGGCTGTTAATATATGACTAGGCTTATATAATAATTAGCTAATAGAGTTATTCTGGATGTCACTATTACAACAACAATATTTGATCTGCTATGTTGACATACATAGTCAAAACAAACAACACTTTTAAGATAAATTGGTTTAATTTTTTATTTTTATTTTTATTTTTTTTTAATTTGGCAGTCTTGTCTTTACTTTATTAGGCTTTGTAATAATTGTCGCGGATGATCATGAAATCAGATGATGCTAAAATTCACATGATCACACGATGATCTCCGCTATTATATAGTAAAAATAAAAATATATTATAACTAGATTTAGTGTTTAGTAAATCTACTTTCATGTACTATCAAAAGTTGTTTGTTAGATTGAGACAATTCTAATGATAGTAAAATAATCAAAAATGACCTACTAGATTGTCTGCAATAGTTCTTCAAAGTTCAAATCGCTGTTTTAAACTTGCAAACAATATAAACAAATGTAAACAAACATTTTAAAACTTTGAAGAACTATTGCAGATAATCCAGTAGGTCGTTTTTGGTGATTTTATTATCATTAGAATCGTCTCAATCTAAAGAACAACTTTTGTTAGAACATGAAAGTAGGTTTACATAATACTAAATCTAGTTTAAAGGTATTTTTTAATTTTTACTATATAATAGCGGAGATCATCATATGATTATGTGAATTTTAACATCATCTGATTTCAGCATCATCTGTGACAATAATTATCTAAACTATTAAAATTTTCTGAAAAGTTATTCTCCCCAGTATCTAAATTACAAATGAAGACTTACCTGGTTGCTCATTAAGTACCTATATGCGATCTGCTATAGTAAGAATTGTCTCTGTATTACTTTATCCTGCAATTGGCTTTGATAATACATCAATAGCTA